GATGACGATCATGTTACATGACGTCGAGGCCATTCTGGGGATTCGTGTTGAGGGTAAACGACTTTGTGCTGTGGCTGATGCGGATCAGGCAGATTCGCTGGCGGAGTTGTTGGCGGTGGACAGGGTTGCACTGTACACCGAGGCGCTAGGTGTTTGGGAACACGGAGGTGTGAAGATCGCATCCGTGTTGCAGCGGTGTTTGTACCCCAGTGCACGTAGGACGCCCGACGCACAGCTGAGTGCTTATGTTTTTCTACTCCTCGGATGTACCTTGTTTCCGGATAAGAGCGGCGGAAACAAGCTCAGGCCACGCGACATCGTAGAGGCGTGTGACCCCGACAGTGTAGGTCAGTTTTCCTGGGGATCGGCTACGTTGGCGTATTTGTATCGCCAACTAGGATTTGCGAGTCGGGCTGACGCGGCAGGTATCACTGGGTGTCTGACTCTATTGCAGACCTGGATATACGAGTACTTTCCTGCATTGCGACCACATCGTGACCCAGTTCCTATTGATGAGGGGATGCCGCGTGCTTGTGCGTGGAGTCCGCGCTCGGAGAAGAAGTCCGTTGACCGCCTCCGATCGATACGGTTATTGCTGGACAGGCTGTCCCCCTTAGAGGTAACGTTTATTTATAGAGTCTACATTTTATTATTTGCACATATTATATTCATGTTATTAAATTTTATATGTTGTTATTGTACAGGTGAACTGGATGCCTTTCGGCCCGAACCCTAGTGTTAGGGTACCCAGGACCCTGTACACGGGACTCATTCAGTATCGTGACATCGTCGAGGCGTACATGCCCCAGCGTTGTCTTCGCCAGCTTGGATTTGTCCAAGTTGTCCCTCCTCCCCCGGCGTGCCCGATGAAGGCGGTCCGACCTGCATCGTCGAGGGACTACGTCGTGGAATGGCCGGATATCATGACCGGGACGTGGGACCAGTTTCCGATGGTGGCCCGCTTATGGACTGCGGAGTTGCAGCGGCCGCCCTCTGGGTTACTCCCATGTGTGACCATTACTACATGGAATGGTTCAACCGGTATTCGCACCCGAGGTTGATCGCTGATCTCGACCACAGCGATGATGATTATGTGCCACTGCCTACTGCCACGGAAGCGGTATGTCTTTTATTATATTTATCGTTGTCTTTTAATTAAGTTTTATTTGTTGTTATTGTATTTCATCTTCTGTTTTTTGTTGTATGCAGTGGATGGGCAAGATAATGCAGGACGTACAGAAACTCTCTCTTGAGAAGGACAGCATGAGTGCAACAGGGAGAGTTGTTGTTGATAGTCTGGAACAGACCCTTGCGCAGTGGGAGTCGTCGTCGAGGAGGGATTACTGATGGTTATTGTATTTTATTTATAGAGCATTATGTTGGACATTATGTTGTAAAATTGTAACATTTTAGATTGTTCTTTTAGCTTCCAACTTAACCATATTACCAGTGCTGTTTTTAAATTTTGATATAACCGTTCGTGGATCCGCGCAACTTACCCATGCAACATATAGAATGCAGTAAGCAATACAATATAAAATATTAATGTTCTCATTAAAAGAGCAACGTACAAATAAGATTACAAATAAAGAATGTAAACATGAAAAACTAAAATGCAGCCAGGGTGTTCCATTCGTGGATCCGGTCATTATATAGCGCATCCCAACCCTCTACGCTCGGTGTGCGAATGTTGTACCACCGAGGTATAATCGGTGGCACCGGAAAATCGGTTGACATGTCTAGTCGGATGAAATGTCTGTATGACGACCCAAGAAACGCAATAGCTAGCTCTCTAACCGGTGTGGTGACAGTCTCACGTGACCGCCAAGGGAGAACCGTGGTACAAGGATAATAAGCTTGACTATGCACTCCCAGGCCGAAATGCATGACTGCGCATTTGTAAATGTTTGCAACGGCAAACAGATCTAGGGGCGCGTCAAAATAATGATTTTCGCCGCAAGGTCCACCTCCCCACCGGATACGCTGCAGAGCGCCATCCAAGTCATCCTGGTACACATGACGACAAAAATTTCGGTTAGAGGCAATTTCGCTGTACATCAACTCACACACCAATCCGTAGTTGTCTTCGCCCATTTGAAAAACATCAGCCACGACCCGGAATCCGCAGTTACCATCTCCGATTACATCATTCCACCCTTCCAAATACGACATGATGATCGCAGGTATCCTTTCCTTGTACGGAAACTGATCAACATCGTTTCTTCCTATTCACCATATAATTATAGACAGTTAAGAAGGCAGGAGTAACACTTTAAAACTATGTGCAATAAAAACAACCAAAACGTACCAGTTCTCAGGGGCATATTCACAGACGATGAAGATTGACTACGACTAGATGACGATGTCCGACCACGAGAACGACCACGACCAAGACCACGGATATACTCAAACGCACTCCTGTTCCGCCGTTGTCGACCTCGAGGACGGTCAACTCCTTCGGGTTCCTCATAATCTAAGTTAGACGGGTGGAACATGTCATGAAGTACATGAGTAGCGTCACGAATAATAGAAGGATGGCTGGAGGACACTCGATCGTACATCGAACGGAACTGCTCCAACTCCTCCTGTTCACGGTCGGCCGTTTGATTGTCTGCATGCTCACCAATAACAAGCGTCCTCCAGAATGAATGGACCTGATCAACATGTAACGACGCCCTTTCTTCTGTAATAACGCGGTGAATGGTGCATGCGCAAGGTAATCCATGAGTTACTGAAATAGTACACCCACACCGAGTATACACTTCGTCAGCCAAGTCCCTCACCCTGTTCAGCTCAGTGAGAATCAACCCCAAGCAGTAGTGCGACACACGACCATGGAGAATCTTAAATATAAAATGGCTATACATCGTACCATGTCGTCGTCTGGAGTCCTCTAGAGAGTTCCTGATGTCGTTCTTCTGAGTTTCAATTGACTTGTTCAGTCTAGCGAACAGTGTATCCAATGCAGCGGTCGATGAATCAATCCAGTCCTTGGTAGCTCTATGAGCGCTCTCAACTCTACATGTTGTAGTGTTCCCAAAATGAAGTACCTGGTTTGTCCAATATTTGACAAACTTTTCCCTGTGAGGGACCCATTGATGCATCACATAGTCCACCAGTGTCGGACACCACTGGTACGAATCCCTGAAGTTAGCCAATGCTTGCTCATACGCTTCCTCTGTGGTAGCCTGTAGGATCTTCCGCCACTTACCATTCACCAATCTCTCTGCCATTTCCAAATTCTTCTTGAAAAGGTTGTAGGCTTTCACTTTCACGCAGTTGTTGATGTGCCATGTGCACAATAAGTGGTTCGATTCGGGAAACAGCTCTGCTATGGGGGCAAAGAGACCTCCCTCACAGTCGCTGACGATGGCTGCTGGATGAACATTAGGCCCGATGTAGTTTCTCAGCTTCTCCAACACCCAATAATAACTTGGAGCCGTCTCATCCCTGATGATTGCATGACCAATCAGAAAGTTCTGGTTCGTTGGAGCCATCCCAACCATCTCAACCAGTGGGAACTTGTACTTGTTTGTCTTGTACGTTGAGTCGATCAAAATCACAAATGGCCAAGACTTGATCATATCAGCACAATCAGGATGCACAAGGAAAAGATGAGTCACCTCCGCTGTATCTTCATCAGAATCAAACCAGAACAGGTAACCACGTGATTGTGCCTGGTGTAGAAGCTGCTGTATAGGGTTCCTTCCCTCTGACCGTTCAAACCTGAGTTGCTGTCTGACGTTGTAGATGTGTCTTCGGTTTGGATGGTCTTCTGGAAATTTCTCTAACACAGATGCTAATATTTTAGCAGGCTTCACTTGAGCATCACTCATTTCTTTCACAACTAGTTTCGCAGCAGGACTTAAGCCGCTCAGTTGTCGATGACCCTCTTCATATACTATCATCTCATGGTTGTGATACCCCCATTTAGAGTAACCTATCACTTCCCAACCGTCACGACTCCGTAGTTGTCGAACCTTTACTCTGAACTCACACCCACGACCTTTCCGCTTTGTGTCAAACCGAGTGGCTGTACGAAAATCTCTTTCTTCTCTTTTGCGATAACGGTCACATCTCAAAATGCGATCTATTCTACCATCCCGTTGAGATTTATGAGTTACTACTACCAAGCAAAATCCAGCTGCAATTGCAACCTGTTTTGCCCAATCAATCGCCTGTTGAGCTTCTTCGAATGGACCATCATGTCCAAATATCCCACTGTAATCATTTCCGTCTCCACCATATTCCTGCATCAATTATATATTACAATAAATACATTTAACGGATAATACATTTAATTTCTATATTTACACAGAATTAACACAAAAAAAAAAAACATAATTATATATAATCAAACTTAATTTTTATAAAAACCCAATTCGAATTTTCAAACTAAATTTAAAAATATACCATTTCGAATTTTCAAATTTAATTTTAAAAAAACCTATTTCGAATTTTCAAATTTAATTAAAAAAAACCCATTTCGAATTTTTTTAAAAAATCATTTTCGATTTTTTTTTTTACAAAAAAATTAAATAAAAAACAACAACAAAATCAAAAAAGAAAAAAAAAATTAATTATTAAAGGTGGCGTCTGCCAGGGCTGCCACAGCCCCTGGACTGGCGCCTGGCAGGGCCGTCTCACCCAGTGGAGTGGCGTCTGCCCAGGACGCCAGTCTGGTGGTTTGGGCGTCTGGGCTGGACGCCACTCTGGTGGTTCTGGCGTCTGGCTTGGACGTCCAGGCTACGGTTTGGGCGTCCACCCTAGGCGCCGGAGCCACTCCGACGGTAAACAGTGAATTTTAACGGTGACTTACCTCGTTTTCCGTCGACGACGACGTACCTCCGGCGTCTCCCGCATCTCCGGCCTGCCCTCCGGTCTCCCCCGGCGAGCCAGTACGGCTCCACATTTTTTACACCGAGATTATTTCAATTTTAGAAAAAGGACATAATGGTCAAATCATATAATATTTATGGGCTTTATATGGTAAATTGCGGGCGATGTTTAGCGATTCAATATACCCACAGAAAAATACTCTTGCTAACCCATTTGTTGTTGCCTTCAACAACTGAATTCAAAAACACAATTCTTTTAAACCAAAACCCAGAAAAATAGAAAGATCCAAGCCAAAAATCTCTGATTTTCGAGCACAAAATCAAACCAAAACCCCCAGCAAAATCGAACACGAAAACCCCCATACAAATCGAGCAAAAAACCCCCCAATTCGAGCAGAAGTTCGGTGTATAAACCCCCAGCAAATTCGAATGTAAACCCCAGAATAATCGAAAAATTTCCAGCCAAAAACCCCCCAAGTCGAGCAAAAATTCCAACCTAAACCCCCAACAATTTCGAACCCTAAAAACCCCAGAAAAATCGAACATTTTGAGCAAAAAACCCCCCAGTTAGAGAAGAAATTCAAACCTAAAACCCCAACAAATTCGAACCCAAAAAACCCAGAAAAATCAAACATTTTTTGGCCAAAAACCGCCCAATTTGAGCAAATATTCATACCTTAACCCCAGCAAATTCGTACCCTAAAAACCCTAGAAAAATTAAACATTTTGGAGCCAAAAACCCCCCAATTATTCGAGCAGAAATTCGAACCTCAACCCAAAGCAGTAAAATACCCCAATTCGAGCTCAAAATCAGTGCTAAACACCCTAGAAAATTCAAGCAAAACCCCCTAAAAACTTATTATATTTTACCCCATAAAACCTAGAAATTTCGACCTAATTAGAGGAAAAGTTCCGTGAAGTTCGACCCATTGTAGCAGTCAATTTGTGAAGTCAATTTCAGCTAAGTTCGACCCATTGGTTCTTGTTGTTATGTTAAATATTTTCACGGTAGATAAATTTCAGCATTTAACTTGAACAAGTACTTAGTTTAATTGCAAAAATAGTGTTAGTTCATTAGAAAATAATTTTTAGCTTGTTTGGCTTTTGTTGGTTTAATTAATATATGTAAATTTATGTCAGATTTCTCAACTATGTGGAAGTGAATTCCTTAAGTTCCACGAGTACAATTGAGGCGGTAGTACACATACGACATTGTCTTCGCTTGTGGTATATACTCTAACCATTCTCTGTAGTTTTAACTTATTTTTTGTGGTTGGTATAATAATTGTGAATTTTATTGGATTTCTAATTGTGATATAATTGATTGAAATTGCAATAATATTTGCATCATAGTGCATGACCCAAGGTTTAGTGACTTGTTATTTTAGGAACCGAGGAATGGATTATGCCATAATACCATTAATTAGAATGTGTTGGGTCAATTGGATTTGCAGTACTTAATTGACTGTCTATGATTGTTAATTGTATTTAGGCCCTTGTAAGTTGCAACTATGTTTCCATTCATGAATCCTGATTGTATCCTCGGATTTGAGGTGAGTTGAATTTAGCTATTTGCTGGGCATTAGGATCCTCTTTCACCTGTTGTTTTATGTATAAATAAATATTGGATTCTTATAATTAATAACTTGTCTTTACAGGGAGGATGATATGCTTAAGAAGCTTGGAGACCTTGTGAATGAGAGTCATTATAGCTGTAGTGTTCTCTATGAATGCAGGTATAAAAGCTTCAGCCACTAGTATTGCTAAATTGAGTTCAATATGCTTATTTGATGCACTACTACATTTTTTATTAAATGCAACGGTAAAAAAAATAGCTAATATATATGTTGTTGGCAGGGGGATAATTTAGCTAAGAACTAGTGAATTTCTTTTTTATTGCTACATTTTAATGTATGTTCTGACTTTTGGGATTAATTAAGTGGGTTGCTGGGTATTTCAATCACTTGTACGTTGGTTTCTTAAGTTCTTTGTATGTTAATAATCACCATCATAACAATAAAAATTCTTTGAAAAAGAGGAAATAACATTATAATTAACAATAAAATCTAAATCATACTTCATTATGAATTGTGCCAAGCAATTTAAATTTTAAGAAAGAAATAAAAAATAGAGAAAGTACAATTTAAGAAGTTTAAAAGCCCAAAGAGAAAGAAAGAGATAACTCCTAACCCAAAGAGAATGAAATAAAAACAGAGAAAGTACAATTTAAGTTTTGCTTTTGCTTGTCACCTGAATTATTTCTTATTCTCACATAGTGTAATTTGAATCTTTTATCTGTTCGAAATACTTCAAAATCATCATAGCAATGAGTATTTTACTATGGTATAAGTTGTCAAATATTTCATTTTTACTTAATAAATACAATTTGAAGTACCTACACTTGAATTACACCTTTGCTCATCTATTTGTGTTGTGCTAATAGGATTTTTCAAGATCTACACCGTATAAAGAGGAGGAGATAAACGAGGTTTAAGATATTTGGGCAGACTATTTTATATGCTATGTTAAACTTTAGATCTACACTTAGCAAACTCCATTTACTTATTAGACTCTTGTTTTATTTGTTAGGCTTGACATGAATGTATTTGGTTTACCAACAATTTGGGTTGGTATTGGTGATTGTGTTGGATGATGACCATCATGTCAATGATATTGAGTTGTAAATTTATTGGACAGGTTTATAATATGCCGCCGTCATTCCCAATTTTATGGGTAGGCCAAAATACAAAGGAGACTCTACCGAAATTTACATTTGCATTCAATAATATTGCATTTTAATTTCAATTATTAGCGTTAGCATATTACTTTATACCACTAGCAAGGAAAACAGGTACTAAAAACATATACAAACAATTATTATAATTAAAAAAAAAATTCACTTCATTTGCGTCACTCATTAAACAAACAAGTGACGCAAATAAAACAATTTTGTATTGTCTAGTCAGTCATTTGCGTCACTCCTATATAAACAAGTGACGCAAATAATAAATAAGAAGTTGATCAGAAGAGTCATTTGAGTCTCTCCTTAATAAAAGAGCAACGCAAATAAGAGTCATTTGCGTCACTCCTTTTTGCGTCACTCCTTTATAAAGGAGCGACGCAAATGACTCTTATTTGTGTCGCGCCTAGGAGCGACGCAAATGACTTTTAAATCATTTGCGTCGCGAGCATTTGCGTCGCTCATAGAAGCGACGCAAATACACTATAAATAAGCGACACAAATGAGCCTTTTTCTACTAGTGAACCATCCAATTTGCCTTTAAACGGCTTATTTACCGGTTTACAACTTCCACAGATTTCATTAAATCAAGCTTACCACGACCATTTATGACAACATTTAATGCTCATATATGGTTCTAAACGCATTATATGACCCCGAGATGTTATCCTAAAATCTAAAGGCTTTTCGAAAACGGGCCTCGAAATCTCCATAATTTCTCAACAAGCATGGGTCTTAGACTTTAATTTTGGAATTTTTTGATTTTTTTTTCGCTCAAAAATAAAAATTGCCGAAATGTTTACCATGGTCCCTAATATCTTTCAGGAGGCCAATTGAATGGGTGGAACCATCCAATTTGTCTTTAAATAGCTAATTTACCCGTTTACAACTTGCACCGATTTCATTAACTCAAGCCTACCACGAACATTTATGAAAACTTATAATGATCATATACGGTTTCAAATGACATTATATGACCCCGAGATATATCCCCTAATTCCTAAGGCTTTTCGACACCGGGCCCTAAAACCTCCAAAATTACTCAGAAAGCGTGGATATATTATCCTTCAATTTTGGAATTTTTTGACTTATTTTCGCCCAAAAATAAAAAAATTTCGAAATTTTTACCATGGTCCCTAATACCCTCCAGGCGCAAATTGGGTAAGTGGAACTATCCAATTTGCCTTTAAACGACCAATTTACCGGTTTACAACAATGCACTGAATTCATTAACTCAAGCCTACCACGAACATTTATGACAACATATAATGATCATATATGGTTCTAAATGACATTATATGACCTCGAGATGTTTTTCCTAGAATTTTAATACTTTTCGACACTGGGCCCTGAAACCTCCAAAATTTTGCAAACTGCGTGGACATTAAACTTCAATTTTGAATTTTTTTTTTTACTTTTATTCGACCGGAAATAAAAATTTCCGTAATATTTACAATGCTCCCTAATATCCTTCGGGGGTACACCTGGATGGGTGGAACCATCCAATTTGCCTTTAAACAGCCCATTTAGCAGTTTACAACTTGTACCGATTTCAATAACTCAAGCCTACATTTATGACAACAAAAAATGATAATAAATGGTTCCAAACAAAAAATGCACTCCCTAATATTTCAAGAATTTTCGACACTAGATCCCGAAATCTCCAAATTTCTCAAAAAGCGTGGATATTGGACTTCTATTTTGGAATTTTTTAACTTTTTCTCGCCCGGAAATAAAAATTGTCGAAATGTTTACCATGGTCACTAATTGTAGGGAATAAATTTCAAGCGTTAACCCCTAGCTTGAACCCCACTGTGATCATACACTAAAGTATGGTGGCGTCCAAAAGGGAAGAAGATAGAGCAAAAGAGTCGCCAACAAGTTTTAGGAACTTGTAAACCGTTCACGAGGTGAAGGTTACACCCCTTAACGATCCAAGAGATAGTTAACTCCATAAGGTCTAGAACCAAATAAGGGTTCGGGGATGAAGGTACGAATCCAACCTAAAAGAGATTGAACCTGCCCTAATAATATGCCTCTACTTTATTCTGATCGTATTCATGTGCGCTTTCCGACTAACATGCAATCAATAGAATTAACCCTAAACCAGTTTATCTATGTTGGTTGAATTTAATTCACAAATAAATCTATTATTGGAGATCACTTGAATTTATAATCACATTAACCCTAACAAAATTATTAATTATCTTATTAAGCGTGATTACAAGTACTAATTCCCTTTAAACATGCATAAAAGGTGTGATCAAGCAATAAATAATAAATATCAAGCAACATAATAATAATCAATAATCATGATGATAAAAATATAATCATCATCAAGATAATAATAATCATAAAAATAATAATCATAATAATATTCATAATCATCATAAATCATAACAATTATAATCATAATCATGTTCATGTTAATTTTAAAGCATAATAAAAATAGCAAGATCCTAGGCATGATACTAACAAGATTAATAACAAATCCTAGCATGTCACTAAACAATAAAAATCAAATCTTTAACCCTAACATGATACTAACAATCATAAATATTAGGAAGAACATAGGAAGCATCGCAGGAATCATATTTAATATATTTGATATTATAACTTTTTCCCTAAACATGATACTAGGAATTATAATAACAATTTAAACATGATTTCTACATCATAATATCAATTAATCAATTAAAGCACTTACTTTGATGCCTCGTACCTCTTTCTAATAAAAAAATACACACGTTAGTAACTTCAAGGAAAATAATAAACAAACAATTAAATTAAATAATTGAAAGAGAGATTTTGAGACCAAACCCTCAGAAATTAAATCTTTCACATCTAGGGCGAAGACAACTTCGAATATGGCTAGGTGTTTCTAGATCTTGCGAATGCGGAATTTTGTATGTAAAAACAAAGATTAGAAAAGAGAAAGAGAGAGAGATGAAATAATCAAGAAAACTTGATGAGAATTGGTGAATGATTAAGAGAGAAATTAGAGAATTAATGATTGCGAATGAAAACTGATTGTAGGTGAATGAAAACGGAGTTTTTAATACGTTATTTATAGAGAAAATCAGCCAAAACGACAAAATATCCAAACAGAGCACTTGGCGCACGTAAAACAGAGCTGGCGCCAGCTTATTGGCGCCAATGGCTTGGTTCTAAGCGCCAATGCCTGGAGTCAGGCGCCAGGCCTGTTTTTGACACGTTTTCGAAAATCAGAAAAGTTTGTCGTACTGGAGGATAAAATCGTATCTTTTCCTCGAAAATGCTTTTTGATTTTAATTAAAACTCTGAAAAGTCAACAAAAGTCAATTTATCAATGCTAATTGAATTAGGAATGAAAAGAACCTTCTAGAAGACTAAAATCATTCCTAATTGCATTAGGAATGATAAATCATATTAGGCCCTCCCCTAGATCATTGGGCCGCATATAAGGCTCAAACCGGGCCCAGTTTAGTAAATTGGCCATAACTTCCTCAATATTCATCGGAATTGGGCTTATAATATATCGTTGGAAAGATCTTGTCAAGCCCCATCCAACTACACTACTATTGGACCCATATTATGGACCAACCAAACTGGATTGGCTGTTTTGTTAAAATAATTTTTCAAAAAACAGAGAGAAGAGAAAAGAAATTAAAACTATCCGCAACACTAGACTTTCCACACTTTCACTTCATTCGATTATGATTCGACGTGAAAGGTACTCATCACTGGGTTTGGTTTTGGGGAGACACAAATGGGTGTCTACACTAATACGCTATTGGATTCCAATTGGGGGGGGGGGGGGTGGAACAATCTAATTTGGCTTTAAACGACCAATTTATCGATTTACAACTTGCTCCGATTTCGTTAACTCAAGCCTACCACGAACATTTATGACAACATAGTTCCAAACGACATTAAATGACCCCGAGATGTATTACCTAAAATCTCAAGGTTTTTCGACATCGTACCCAACCTCAAAAATTTCTCAAAAAGAGTGGATAAGCCTTCAGTTTTGGAATTTTTTGACTTTTTTTTCTCTCGGAAATAAAAATTGCCGAAATTTTTACCATAGTCCAATTGGGTTGGTGTATCTATCCAATTTGCATTTAAACGACCAATTTGCCGGTTTAAAACTTGCACCTATTTCATTAAATCAAGCCTACCACGAACATTTATGACTTCATATAATGATCATAAATGGTTCCAATTGGCATATTATATCCCCGAGATATATCCCCTAAAATTTCACGGCTTTTCGACACCTGGCCTCCAAACCTCCAAAATTTCTCAAAAAGCATGGATCTTAGCCTTTAGTTTTGGAATTTTTTGACTTTTTTCGCTCGAAAATAAAAATTATCGAAATGTTTACCATGGTCCCTAATACCCTATGAGAGTCCAATTGGTTGGGTGGAACCATCCAATTTGCCTTTAAACGGTCAATTTACCGGTTTACAACTTGCACCGATATCATTAACTCAACCTATCCCCTAACATCTATGACAACAAATAATGATCATATATGGTTCCAAACGGCATTTAATGACCCCGAGATGTATCCCCTAGAATTTCAAGACTTTTCGTCGCCGGGCGTCAAATCCTCCAAAAAATTTTAAAAAGCGTGGATATATATTAGCCTTCAATTTTGAAAATTTTGACTTTTTTTTCTCCCAGAAATAAAAATTGCCGAAATATTTATTATGTACCCTAATACCGTCCAGGAGTCCCATTTGGTGGGCTGAACCATCCAATTTGCCTTTATACGACCAATTTACCAGTTTACAACTTGCACCGATTTCATTAACTCAAGCCTACTTTGAATATTTATGAAAACAAAAAAAATTGATCATATATGGTTCCAAACGACATTATATGACCCCAAGATGTATTCCCTTGAATTTCAAGACTTTTAGACACCGAGCTTCGAACACTCCAAAATTTCTCAAAAAGCGTGGATATTAGCCTTCAATTTTTGAATTTTTTGACTTTTTTTCGCCCGGAAATAAAAAATTTCCGAAATTTTACCAAGGTATCTAATATCCTTTGGGT